ACTGGCCAGTATTTTTGAAGAATTTGGTCGCGCTCTGACTCACGTTAGTGAGTGGTGAATAAATTGAGGAAGGATTTACATACCCGCGTTGTCGAAAATCAACAACCACTTTTTCTCTGTCATATATTAGCGAGTGAAGACTATTTTGATTTCCACTACTTACTGGTGAGCTTCAACCACTTCAACACCGCCAGTAAATTCTCTTCGTGATGACCATCCTTTGCAGCTCCGGGAAGATTTAGAGACAGAGCTACATCTGTAAAGCTCTGTCTGATTGACACAGAAGTTTCACACTGGATCCAGAAAATAGCATCGTATCCACCGGGATTCACGTGAGCAAACTGAAGGGCGATTTCAGTCTTGCCCACGCCACGTCTGCCGTAGATCGTGTACGTTCGGAAGGTCGCCACTCCATCATCTTGGTCCTTGGGTTTCAGATACTTCAGGATCTTGTCTAGCTCTTCTTTCCTGCCGTAGAATGTCCGATTCCTCTGGAAGGGGAGAATGCGATTGGGAAAGACTCCTGGTTCTTCTGAATCTGGCAGCGCGGCGTGACGTGATGATAAACTCTTCACTTGTCGATCCCGATTGACCTTGGAGAAGTTACTGATTTCACTGTTTGAGGTGTCAGTACCGACCCAATTCAAATCCTACGATATTTTGGAGGCGTGAATCTGAGACTCCAGAATCCAGGTCTCAAAGGCAGGAACAATGGAAGTATGCTTACCTGACATGCTTGACAGTATAATCTAGGGATGCCAACTGTTGATCGATATTCGCTCTCATATCTGGCCATGTTTCCGCTGACTCTTTTTCTATTCATGGGGTCAGTTGATAGTCCTCTAATTCCCGATCAAAATTACAAGATGACATACCGGACAAATGCTCATGGAAATAATCAATACAATCAACGAGAACCATGACGATCGGATCCAGGTAGTCAATTACTGCAATTCTTGCCTCGTTCTTTTCGTCGCAAGTTTCCAAACACCGGTTGAATAACACTGTGACTTTCCGAAGTCTGTCCATGAGATCACAAGTCCGCTTGAGCCTGTCGAGAGAAGTGTATGACATCTGATTGATGTTAGATCTGCCTGCTAGGAATTTCATACTTGTGATGAGAGAAATACCTTCAGATTAAGATAGATTAGTCCCCAGAGAACATCAAATTTAACATCAAATGGCACAATCAGACCATCGAATGTCATGGTTAGTTTGACTAGGACGCTCGGGAAAGCATGTATTCTGCTCATTTGTCGCTTCATGTTCTGAGTTGACGACGAGTCGCTCAGTTTGGCTTGAATCTCGTCCTTGACATCCTGCCAGTATATGTAATCAGAGGCCGCCTTTTGATCTGTCGAAGTCAGTCACGTCCAGAGTCACCTCAATGTGATTTTACCTTGTGGAGAGAGTCTTGATGTTGCCGAGTGCACTATATCCTCCCATCGCTTAACAACAAACTTTCTCGTGTCACTATTGAAATTAGATTCGAGATTTAGATCCCAATTTCTGGTTACTCACGAGAAATCTACATCGTATTCATCTCCCCTTGGAATGCTTGCACCAACGCCCTTGTGCCCCTTTTGAACGCCATTTGAATGCCCATTTCCTCCATCGGAGTCCCCATTAGTCCCTCTACGAACGAGCGGCTCTTGAATGGCATGGTTGCCATTCAAAGCGAGATTATGAACCCCATTCGAGATCCCCACAGCTGTCATGATTGCAAAAGTACACTACGGAAAAAATCGCGAAGAGATAGTTGCTTGACACAATCTCAAGTCAACACATTCGCGTATCGTAAAGTTGATTTTTCGAGATGCTAGATTTCAATATGTCGACCCAGGGTTCCAGAAGTTATGACGAGAGAGGTATGCGCCCGTAGAATTTGTTATGGGAAGGCTGTGGAGGCTCGTTGACTTGGGCCTTTTTACACATGGTAAGTTTACGCGGCATTACACAAGCACCCATGGAAGACCGTTGACCAGTCTGAAGAGGTGACTCAAATGAGGCTCGCGACAGGACCTATCGTAACACACCGATGGGGTGGCTTACAGCTCGTGCCTCGTTTGCATATTGGGCAGCGAGTATGCTTCAGGAGCACACCTCCCCGCCCCAGCACTGCCTTGCAGATACGCCCGACTCCAGTGTGGAAGTTCGGTGGGTAAATTCCTAGATGAGGGGTACAGGCTCGGAACCATGGGGCTGACTTGCAGGCTCACACACTGAACCCCTCCAACCTCGATGGGTTGCATGAAGCCACCGATAAGAACGTCGAACGCAACAGGCTGGAATTTCTCCAAGGCTGGGTGTCTGCATGAAGCTAAACACCTCAACAAGTGCAAAAGTATATGCAGGCGATCGATCATAATGATTCCCCCACAAAGCCTTGTGAGCATTACGAATATGCCTTGCCAGCAGATATACTTTGGCTGAAAAGGTTCGGCTCGGGGAACAAGCGAATGAACGAGGCAGATGGAGTATCAATTACTTAATTTATACAGGTTCTTTGGATCCCCTAGGTTCCCTGTGCATTAGAAGTTGTTGAGTATCATGTTAATCACCCATCAAGCCGCTAAAATGTGTTAATAACATGAGTGTGAACTTTTTGACGGGCTTTTTGGACATATGCCATCATCACGTGATACTGAGGGGGTAAACTACCCCGCTTGGTGTTGTTTTCCAGCGATGTACTGGCGAAATTATTCCCAAGAGCCGTACTTGAAGAGTTGAGTTTGGTAAACAAACGTGAAGCAATTTGTAATAAAAGATGCTCGACCAAATACAAGAGGATGGGGGTACAGTACTAACCGTGAGGAGGTGCTGCTACTCGGTCAGCGTCGGTGTACGATTCGCTACAAGAGGAAGTTAGGAACGCAGCATCTAAACGAGCCTATCTCGAGACCTTGTAGATCTAGCCTTGCAGCCTTCCTCGTGACAACCTTAAGTGCACCTCGAATAGCCTCACGATATTGCAAACGAAAGAGTCAGGAGTACAGCCTTCCTCTACTAGCATCACGATTACCCTGAGTCGCCTTGATATTCTTCACAATGCCTCCTGTACGAGCTGCTCTCGAGTACTTACAGAAACTACCCCTCTACGAATATGAGAAGCCGTATTGGTGTTTCCTGCCCCCAAAAGAGGGGTATGATCCAGACCATCAACGAGTTGATAATCTGGAGTTCGAAAGCCACTCAGACATAATCATCCAAGATATACGGGATCGGAAAACGAAAGCAAGGATAGGAGAATGTGGGTTCGAAGTCTTTGATCATAAGAGCAAATTCTCGGCTTTTCCTACGGCAGAAGATGTGATCCAGTACCGTGAGGAGACAGAGATGTTATTGAAGGAGAAGTTAGGTGCAGAGTTTGTACAGTGTTATGACTCGAGACTGAGGGAGAACGTCTTGTTTCAACGGAGGCAGTTAGACCTTAATGATCTTACCCTGACTGAGGGTCCTGCTCGTGGAGTTCACAATGGTATGTCCCTCCAGAGAATTCCCATAGTTACACTGTTGGTCTAATGCTTCAACAGATATTACTTATATATCTGGCCCAACAGTTATCAACCGGTATCTGTCAGATGAGATAAAATCAAAATATCTAAGGCCCGGCTACCGCTTTCGTATCGTCAAGTAAGCAGGATTCCGAAATGTGATTTGAACATATGTTAACCTTGCGCTAGTACCTGGAGGACACTCATTCCCCAACTCGAGGATCGACCACTGGCTCTCTGTGACAGCAGGTCTGTCAATCCAGAAGATCTTGTTGCAGCAGATCGGATCATTCCAGATAGGGTCGGCGAAGTGTACTACCTGACACATAATCCCAACCATAAATGGTACTGGCTGGAGAAACAGACTCCTTCTGAACCGTACGCTTTTGTTATGTATGATACCAAGGGTGGAGATCATGCTCGATGTAAGTTTGAACTCCGGAGTTTGAATAGAAAACTGATAGTATCTCCAGTTTGTCCACATGTCTCTTTCGTTAATCCAAATGCGCCTGAAGATGCTGCTCCACGGCAATCTATAGAGACTCGGTCGATAGTCATCACCAAGGATTGAGTGGAGAAGCTAGACAAATTGTCAGAAAACTTCATTGTATGAAGAGAACCGTCAACAGCATTCCTCGGATTGGTTCCATATAGTTTTGCATATGTTCTAGGAGCATCTCTTCGACATCGGGTCGTGAGGGAGGGAGGACAGCATTCGCCACTGGCAAAATGGCAAGAACAAGCATTCAAGCATGAAATCTGTTAGGAGGGGATATGAAAGCATCGGGTGCATTGCATTGGAGGAACACCATGTATTGGGAGGTACTTAGTAAGCAATCGAGACTTTCGGCAGGCTTTTTCTGGTCTCTTTGAACCAGATGTCGTTGATATTGGGAAGTCTAGCGGGGTAAACTAAATTTTAGTCTTCTATCCACCTACACGTGACTCACATTATTTTGTTAAAGAGAGGCACACTGATTCAATTTCGAGTTAAATTCTTGCCGTTGCATTACTTATACTGGGGACTAGGCATGGTTGAAGACTCGTAGTAGTTTTATTAGACAGATACAGTCAAGTCACCACGTGAGCCTGCATCACGAGATTTCACCATGTCAAACGCTGAATAAGAACCTGAAAGAGCCTCTCAAGCAGGAATACTAAGCAACATACATCAATGAACAGACCAATGGAACAATGCAAAACTCCCAATTCTAAGTTATCAATTTATACAGCCCTAAAAACCAGACCGTTCACCCCCCATCCAGACCCACCACAAACTTCCCACCAACCAATTAAATACCCAATAACCCAACTACACCTCATCTCCACAAGGTAATCAAGTAATAACCCACCTATAGCTCTCGATCCACAAGCTCCATCAAGCCCAAAGTCTCCATCCAACTAACCCAACCTCCGGAGGAACCCTGGAACCAAATTTCAAAGCGCACTACCTGTTTCTTCTACCTAGATTAAGGATTTGCGTGTATCAAGGAGTAAACAGCTTCATCTTTGATGGTCTAACGGTCATGATTTCCGCTTGTCATTATTCAGACAAGTCGCGGGAGATCGGGGTTCGACTCCCCGTCAGAGAGATTCTCTAGAGTTCATGTCCCCCAGTTGAGGCTGGGACACCTCACTTTTTGCCCTTCTTCTTTCTGCCTTTCAAACTGTATGTATATGTATGTAATGGGCTGTGACTTCATGTATAGGAGAATTAAGTCATTGGATAATGTAGTTAGTTCCACAGGAAAGAAAATGGGAAGCCAACTGGTTGCTTTTTGATAATAATTTTTTCGAGGTTGCGGCTCATCCTGTGTGGCGCTCATCTCGCTTCGGAAGGGGGACCGGCACAACATGCCTGGCGAGTGGATTATTATTGTTACCCCATAATTCCATGAGGTTGTTTTTGTTGTTGCTGAAAAGGCTTAATTATGATTCATTCATATAGAAATATTGAATTTAAACGCTCTGTCTTACGAGAGATTCTGCAATTTCTAAACGCTTTGTTGAATTTACGTTCCAACATCAGATAAATACCAGAAGGATTCCCACTTTGTAATATTTCAAATTCTCAAATGCCTATCTTGTCTATAGAACATCCTAGCTCTATGTAACTCCGCTCCAAACCCATCTAAACAGCAACACCTCCCTCAGTATCAACCTCCATAACCACATCACCCTCCCCAGCAAGCACCTCCTCTGGATTCCAAACACTCGCGTTTCTGGGCCACATGCGCTTATATAAACTAACACCGACCGAATCCTGAGGATTGATCTTCCCATCAAATGTAGCCTTGAAGTATCCATGTGTACCCAGACTCTCCTTGATGAAACCACTGCGACCACGCTTGGTCCATAGTTGCAAGGCTTTGAACCACTCTACGTCCTCGCGGTTGAAGAACATGTAGCGGATTGTTACGAGCTTCTTGTGGATCTTGTAAGGGTGGCCGGTGAGGATTATACGTTTGGCGATTACGCGAGATGAGGATGGTGCCATTGATGTACCGGTTCCGAGGAGGGTGAGAGGTAGTGGAGAGGGGTTATCTTCTGTGGCGATGTTTCGCTTGAAGAAAAGTGTCGGCACGGAACCCCATGTCATTGGTGCAACGAAGGTTGCTATAGTCGACTGTCCAGGGTGTAGGAAGCGGTCGAATTTGTGGACATCGTTGGATGTGTTGCCTCCTTGGGAGAAGAGAGGATTAATGACGAATCGTCGAGGACCACATTGCATGATCATCTCTTGCTTGGACTTTACGGCCGTAGTGTAGTCGGAGCTGAGTGTGAAGTTGAAGTTGAGAACTGCGCGCTTGTGTTCGTGACGGAGTAGGGAGAAAAGGTTGAGAGGGCGGGCTGGGTTGTATGATGATCGGAGAGAAGTAGGGACGTTTCGGAGATGGATATGAACTCGAGTACCGGCTGGGACACCACCGATCAAAGCTTCTCGAGTAACCTGACTTCTCGTAGACTTATAGTCGGGCACTTGAAGCAATCTTTTCCAGTCTTCTGGCTCATATGCTCTATCCTCAGCTTCCTCCCAGTGACTCTCCCGTAAACTCTTCAGTCCACGGTACTTGAGCAATCGTTCTCTTGCAAGAACATGAGGATGTAACTCAATCTCGTCCGGAAATTCGCGATCGTCCTCTGCTTCGTCGACGTTTCGATTTCGGAATGCAGCAAGTTGCTCGGCTTCTGCCTCATCATCTGGGGTAGGGTCGAGGAACATTTCAGACTTTGCGTATTCCGTAGGAGCGAACTCCGTTGGCTCTCGTGGTGCAAAACCTTCAACTCCGTCCTGTGGCAAAGCTGGTGTGCCCATTGAGAGGTCACCTTGCTCATCGACATCCTCATAATCAGATCCAGAATCCGAGAAATTGTCTCCAAGATACCATGCTGCTTGGTACGCTGATGTGCCTTTCGGTAAACGTTTTGGCTTCACAGGTAGATGTGTCTCGTCGTCTGAGAAATAGTGATGGTCATCCAGGAGGACTCCTCGCTTGTCGCTCGTTGCTACTGACATGGTTGCATCAATATCATTGTCCATCATAATCTCCTCTGGAGCCAACTCCGCTGTATCATCCTGGTCTTCTGTCGGGGTATCAAGAACACTCTCGGCGTCACTTTCGTCCACCGTCATCTCATCCTGTCTCCTCTTTTTCGAAGTCAATGGCGCAGCGGTGATCTTCTCGATCTGGAAATCGCCCCAATCTCCAACTTGTACCAGTCTGTCTGCCTTCAAGCCCTTGCCTCTAACCACTCCGGTCAGAACAACACTCTCCTGCTCATTCTCAGGCCATTGCACATCATCCACAAGCATCCAGCTTCTATCCTCTCTCCATCGAACACCTTTTGGTGTTGTCGTACATAGCGATCGCATAAGGTTGGCGCATTCTTGTCTCGAATCCAGATTGTGTACTTTCTCCTGATCCGGGTGGAAATGTGTAACGTATGACTTGAGCGATGCTAATACCTGCGGCCGTCTCTTTGCTGGTTCCACCTTGTCGAGTCCTTGAACGACAGTCATAAGAGTAGACAGACCCTGGCTTTCGACACTTCGGATTATGAGTTCTCCCAGCGCATCCACCTCTTGGTCGGGAGATAGAATGAATATGACAAAGTCTGCCACTCTGCCAGCATCTAGACAAGCCACCAAGTCCCTCTTCAGCACAATGTATTCTACCTTTTGCTTGAATCGATCGATTTCCGTTCGCAAGAGTCCCTCCTCTGGTACCTCAGCCTCGATGTCTAGACTTCCACTCAAAAGTCGCACTGCTGCAGCGGCATCTCCATCTTCGCACAATGGAATAACTGCGACTATCCTCGGTGCTCCATCACGGCCTGCAAAGACATTGGTCTCCCTCAAATGTTCCTTGTGTTTGTTCAGCTGCTTCTGCTTGTTCTGGTTTCGGCGGTCGAACTTGGACATCATTTGCTGATGGGGCGTCTTTCGGTGACTGAGATCTGCGAGTTTTCCTATTTGTTTTCAGTAAAATATCTCGAATAAATCATGGAGGGGTAAACCTTTGGCAATTTCCTTCAATGCGCCCTTGGTCGCTTTCCTGGATTTGAATCCCTTCTGTGTGCCTTTCGTGGTACTCCTGTGCGAGTGAGACTGCACAGATGGAGCCATAGTGCCGTTGCCTCCGGCCTTGAATCTAAAGGGAATGTTGGACGCCAGATTGGAAATATTGTCGAGATTGTGTTTATCGTGAGTTTCGAAATGTGGGGGATTCTCTCTATCGAACTTTTTTCCCGCCAAGATTTTGCGATAAGCGATAGGTGATGTCTTGGCACCTAAAAAGTTCGGTCAGGCCTCTGGATTTGAGCGCGGGATCCGAGCTTGAATGTTCACCACCATCTAGAGAACTCATTAATTCTCAGCCCTCGCTCAACTCCTGGAAAACGAATTATATTGCTGGGAGACATGTCGACTATGGAGATTGATCGCCCAGATGTCGAGAGTGGCGACAGACAGCACTTCAATGGTGCAGCCCCGATCAAACGCGCTCGAATCGATTTGACAGCGACAGTACCAGATGCAGCATTGATCCGGAGGCAGAAGGAGGCCAACAAGCAATATGGACGGGGCAAGAAGATACCCTGTAAGATTCGTGAAGTGGGAGGTCTGCAATGGAGACTAACAGGAAGCAGTGAAGGGCATCAAGGACAAGAAATTACGAGCGAATCTGAAGGCGCAAGAATCGAAATACCAGACTGCGATTTTACGGGCGAAAGATGCGGAAATCTTGCATGAGAATACCGAGGGATTCCTGGAGCCAGAAAACGAGTTAGAAAGAACATACAAAGTCAAGCAACGAGACATTTCGAAAGAGGTTTCGATTGAGACAGCCAAGAAGGGATTCGAGCTGAAGCTGGATGCGTTGGGGCCTTATGTGTGTGACTATACAAGAAATGGAAGGGATCTATTGCTGGCGGGTAGGAAGGGGCATATCGCTACCATGGATTGGAGAGATGGGAAGCTGGGCTGCGAATTGCAACTTGGAGAGACTGTGAGGGATGCAAAGTGGCTACACAACAACCAGATGTTTGCGGTTGCGCAGAAGAAATACGTCTACATATACGACCAAGCAGGCGTAGAGTTACATTGCTTGAAAAAGCATATTGAGGTCACCAGTATGGAGTTCCTGCCATACCATTACCTGCTGGCTACAGTGGTAAGTACATATCTTGGTGTTGCTGGGACTGAATTTAACGTCGAAACAGGGAAACGCAGGATATCTAAAATACCAAGACGTCTCGACCGGTCAAATGGTCATCGAAACCCCTACCAAACTCGGATCACCTACCGCCCTCACCCAGAATCCTCAAAACGCAGTCCTCCACATGGGCCATCAAAACGGAACTGTCACACTCTGGTCACCCAATTCTCCCACGCCGCTAGTCAAACTTCTTGCCCACCGAGGTCCAGTACGTGCCATGTCGATAGACCGAGAAGGTAGATATATGGTTTCAACCGGCCAGGATCTCAAGATGTCGGTCTGGGATATCCGGATGTTCAAGGAGGTTAACAGCTACTTTACACGACTACCAGCATCTTCAGTCGCCATTTCAGATCGCGGTTTGACGGCTGTAGGATGGGGAACACAAACATCCATATGGCGAGGTTTATTCACCAAGCACGCATTGGAGCAAGAGAAGATCCAGAGTCCGTATTTGGCATGGGGAGGTGAAGGCAAGAGAATTGAGCGTGTAAAGTGGTGTCCGTTCGAGGATATTCTGGGCGTCTCCCACGATGCCGGATTCTCGTCAATCATCGTCCCAGGAGCAGGAGAGCCCAACTTCGATGCCCAAGAAATCAACCCTTACGAGAACACCAAGCAACGACAAGAAGCTGAAGTCAGATCTCTGCTCAATAAGCTGCAACCAGAGATGATATCCCTAAATCCAGAATATATCGGTAATCTGGACTTGCTGACAGCAGAGCAACGCAAGGCCGAGAAGGACCTGGATAAGAAACCTGTGGATCCTGTTGCGGATGTGAAGAATCGTGGACGAGGAAAGAACAGTTCGCTGAGGAAATATTTGAGGAAGCAGGGTTCGAGGAACATTATCGATGAGAGGAGACTGAAGATCG